TGTTTTATTATAATTTGTGATGAAAATATGAGCATTTGCCGCTACTGTCTGTTGTTATTAATATATGATAATTTATTCTCACATACTTTGTATTTAGTTTATGAAATTCTGTGCTTTCAATAAAACTCATATACCTAGAGTTATTAATTTCTCATTTTATCCGGCCCATTTAAAGTGCTGAATTACCTAATGTGGCCCGCATATCGAAAAGTTTGGAGACCCCTGTTCTAGACAATCAGCTTACATATGGTGGTGAGGTTGTCAGCCTTATGCACCAGTCACTCTTTACCCCCAGGAAGATTCCTGGCATTCATTTCTGTTAGAGGCTGAGTCAACATGAGAGTCATAGTGCGGCTGGAAGAATTAGGTCAATTGATAAATCCAGTGACCTCACTGGGAATTTATCCCGCAACCTTCTGGCTTGTAGCATAGTACCTCAACCAACTACACTACTGCGTGCCCCCAATTCTGTGACAATGTAATTGCAAATGATGTTAGAACAAACCACTTGTTACCACTTCCATTACCTTCCATAATATCCTACAAGTGGAATACTGTAAAATAATAAAAGATACTTCAAGTCTTTAATACTGCCATGGATATGCAATAAACAAACTAAGATTATGGTCATGAGTTGTACCTATAAATTATCAATGACAATGTATTATAATAAATGCAACATTTGAGCCTACAATAATGACAGATTCAAAAACTGACAAAAAACAGTTATTATTGTTTTCTGGGAAAGGTTTTAAATCAGTGAGATTAAATAGTTTCATACATTCTGTGGTTATAAGCAAATTAAATGACAATCATCAATTAAAAAAATACTGAATCTGGAATCAAACAGAAAATCAGAATGAAAATATGCAACTCATGGTGACCTGGCAGAGACTTAATATCCAATATAGACCATCTGAGATAGGAGGAGAAATCCCTTGTGTCCACACTGCCTAGCCTGGAAACCATATTTAACCATTTTCATTCTCTGAACACCATATCTTGTCCAGAAACACTAACTGTCTTTGTTCAGAATGTCTCTTAATGTTTGATAGTCCATGGTTTGACCTCCTTGAGAACTAACAGTTACCACAGAAATATGTAAATAGAAATGCAGCACAGAGGAAAATTTTGCATGAAAAGGGTACCTGAAAGGCCCAACAAGAGTCATGAAGCACCTGTTTGGCCTTTCAACTGCTTATGAGCATTAGCATGCAGGGCATTAAAATACCTTTGGTTTTCAACTACAGGAATACTTTCCAGTCACCTCTGGCTGTTGACTTTCTATATGATATAAGACTGTTTTGGGTGTGACACACTGTACATAATTACATAAATCACAGACACGACTGTTTCTGGAATCTACAGTGTCAATCTAAGCGAGCCCAGGATATTCACAGGTTACCAGTCAAAGTGGACTTCCAGCAACAATGTGGACATTGGTGTTGCAACACTGAAGACCAAAATATAAAGCCTTTATGTAAGAATACAGCGATGAAAAACAACTGGCATGTCCAGAATAGAAAGAGCTTATTTTCTTTGGCGTGTTATGGGATCTTCTTTAATTAAAATTGTCCAATTACAACCTTATATTACAATTTTCCTTTTAAGTAATTTCAATTATTGTACCTTAAAAAAGTGAACAACTGAAGACAGAACCTACACCCATATGATCATTAAAGGGCTTAATGAGAATAAATGTAGGAAGACACATGCTTCAGATGACCAGGCACATGTTGTTCACTTCATGATCGAGTTTCTGATATGAGATAATATCAACAAGGCTTGGAATTCCTTTTCTTACTATCCCTGTAACAGGCCGTGAAGGCCCATAGGGTTGTGACATGTTGAGGGTCCCACATTCTCTAGACAATCGGCTCAAAGATGGCAGTAAGGTTGCCAGCCTTACGCGCCGGCCGCACACTTCCTACATTATCTTTACCAAATTACCAAACACCAGAATCAAAGTAATACAGTGGAACCTTGCTTAATGAGCACCTCTCATAATGAGTAATTCGCATAACGAGCAAAACAAATTGTAAAAAATGGCTCGCTTAACGAGCGATGTTTCGCATAACAAGTGACGAGAGGCGAAGTCCCGGATTGTGCGCTTGCTACATCAGTCTGTGTTTAGCACTTGTTCCGCTAGCATCTTAGTATCGCTTGTGATCACACAGTTTTCCAAACTTGTGTTCAGACATATTATTTGTGATTTTTTTTGTGCAAAGTTTAATAACCCTTGCAAAAATGTCCCTGAAGAAAAATCCGCAAAAAGACAGCCATAAGAGAATAAAAATAACCATAGAAATGAAACGTAAAATCATTTAAAAGCGTGAACTAGGTGTGAGCGTGGCTGATCTAGCACCCACATAGAATCAGTCTACATCAACGATTTGGAGTTGCATTGTGGTTCACAGCAAGAAGTTGTGGAGGAGAGTTTGTCAGAGGAGGAGGAGGAGGTAACAGGAAAGCAAGAATCTTCTGGCACAATAAGAGAAATGTTGAAAGCATGGGATACTGTTGCATTGTACAGTGAGAAGCATCATCCTAATAAGGCAGTGGCTATGCATGCTACAAATTTATTTAATGATAATACTGTCACATTTTCACCAAATTTTGGAGTGTCGGCAAAAACAAATGTCTCTAGACAGCTTTCTAGTAAAAATGAATTAGATATGTATCATAAATAATAAGCTAATTATTTCGATTTTTTTTTTGTTTTCTGCAAATCTAATTCGCATTCCAGGTTGGTTCATTCCGCACAGAAGAAAAGGTGAAGATGATTCATGCTCCTTGACAATGTATATATAATTTTCTTTGAATAAACGTTATACATAAAATTTTTTGAGTATTTTTTTGGCATGGAACGCATTATCGTATTTTACATTAATTTATATGGGAAAAATTGTTTCGCTTAATGAGTGTTTTGCATTACGAGTAAGATTCTGGAACGAATGATGCTCGTTAAGTGAGGTTCCACTGTATTACTATTTTCCTGTCATTTTGTTTTCATGGTGTATCATGATATTGCTGGTATGTCATGAAGGTGAAATGTATTAGCTTAACAAACATAAAAAAAAAAACCATGTAATATAAAGCTTTTATCCCATTAAAGTCTGTAACTCTTATGCAAAATACTGTTTATTCCATGAGTTTCTTTCAAGATAAAGTTTATACCTGCTTTCAAATAAATGACAAGGTTTGAAAGGATCATTCTCAACTTCTACTCTGATGGAAGTTTTCAGTTCATTAAAATCTACCTATCAAAAGCATGTTGATACTAGGTCATGGACAAAAGGGACAGGCATGGTCTACAAAGGAAGTGTTATTTTTGTGTAAGGAATATTTAATAATTGGCTTATTTTTATTATCAAAATTTAAAACCTTTGAAATTAATGAAACACCTTATTTTCTCACAGCATCACATTAAAGTCATATTAATTTTAGGGCAACACCTACATTTATCCATTGTTTTTCTAGGCATCCTTCTGCTACATATTAATGACCTATTCTACTAAACAACTAATTTCTTGGAGTTGACCCCTTCTTGAGAAGCAGGCAGTTATGCACTTACTCAAGATCTTCCCAGGATTTTATGGAACCCAAAGGTTCATTACCATGTTCATGAGAGCCCACCACTGGTCCCTATCCTGAGCCAGACCAATTGAGACCATAACACCCCATCCTATCTCTAAGTTCAATTTAATATTATTCACCCACCCAAGTCTTGGTCTTCCTACTGGTCTCTTTCCTTCTGGCTTTCCCATCAATATCCTATTTGCATTCCTCTCCGCCCCCATACCCGCTATATGACCCCTCTATATGACTTCTATATAGTAAATCTAAAATTTATGACAGATCTTAAACTTTACCTTATGTAATGAGGCTATAATGACTGACATCCAGTGAAAATGAAGATATGAATTCTTGGGCAACTAGCAGATGCTTATGCACACTACTCAGTACTGATGCTAACACATCTGTCTCACTGCTCCAGCCTGTCAGTTAGTAACTGTGATTCAAGTGCAAAATGCTACTGTGGCTTCATTCCAGTTTGATTCCCTTATATTTGTATGGACAGGCAGTACCTCAACCCTGAAAGCACTTGACAAATGAAAATCGAATTATTGTTTATAAATGCACTTAGTACTTCATGTTTATGCCTGGTAAGGACTTCCCCATGTCCTTGTCAGAAGAGGTCTAGCTAATCGCTTGCCAATGGTCTGCACTTGGAAACCGATCTTAATTAACGTGTCATGATCCAAAATCTTCCTTCCATCAAAGATGTGAGCCGGTTTCATCATACCTTTGTAAATACGTTCATAGTCCAACATCTGTAATGTAATATTGAAATAAAAAAATTACACAAAAATTCACTTACCCTACTATGTCTTTACAATGAATGGCATGTATGTTTCATTACCTTCAGAACATGTATTCATCATATAATCCTTTGCTCAAATATGTTTTGGAAAACTGACCTTTGATAGTGACAAGCAGTGGTCTTGATATAAAAATATGTCTGCTGGGATACATACTGGCAGAAAAAAAGCAATGGGTATATGACAACTGTATGCTTCCTCTTCCTCGTAGAATAAGAATAATAGGCTAAATATGTTCTTTTAAAATCACCTTAATTTAGCATACTATAGAACAAAGCATTGTGAATATTTTAAAATGATAATTGAGAGCTGTGAACTGACAAAGAAAAATCGTTCATTAACTTTCATAAATGCTAAGCAGAGCAGAAGTGCTAAAAAAACTACTGGATAATTTTATTTTTCTTACCATAAATTCATCCCATTCTGTGCACAGAACAATAGCATGAGTCCCCATTGTTGCAGTGTATGGGTCGCTGTGGATTGTGACAGAATTTTTTACATTCTCTGGCTCCTCTGTGACAGTGGGATGAGTCAAGTCATCAATAATCTGGCTTCGTTCCACCTAAGCAATATAAAACATAACAAACTCTCTTAGGAAGTTCCTACATATATACGACTTATTTCATTATGTGCAACTTTATATTTTCTGTCCTCTTCTTTAAGTATTAATGATAACTTCCTTGTTGAGAAGTTTTCAGGAATTGATTCCTTAAAGATATTACAGTATACACATGTATGTTTGATAATAAGAATTCTGCTTACTTGTCCACATACATGAAAAACTGTGGTTACTGAATGGAAGTTCTTTCAAGCCATGTGTTTTATCTATGACTTCTTATTTATTCACGTAAAACATACAATCAGCTGTTATTGGAAAATTCTACCATGCAGTATGAGTTACATATCGATTCTTCTAGCATAATTTACAAGCAATTGATGATATGCCACAATCATATGATGAAGGGTACAGATCAATCACTTTGATGACGATGATCACGACGATGATGATGAGGAGGAGGAGGGGGAGGACCATGCTCATGATGACAAAGACAACGGAAAATGATAATTCAGTGCTACACCCTCTCAGAACCCAATTCTGACCAGACTGCAGTTTCAGATTTTATTCCTCTTACACTGTTACGTATTAACACAAATAATCCTGAAACCAACAATATTTTATAGTGGAGGCAACACTACTTCTGTGCCACTGAACCTTGACATCAAATAATATTGTAACGTGTCTGGAGTAGATACTTCCGTGGTAACACAATAACAGTGGGCCATTGTGTAGGAATTGCAGAAACAACGAACGCGTTTCCCCAGAGATGAACAACAGAAGGCCGTTGAGTAACAACGGATGAGACGAAACTCGTTACCCGCGTATAAAGAGCGTTCCCGAAGCAACGGGTTGCCGAACACGTGAGATCGAACCTTGGTGAAGGGTGTCCTCTACTGAGTCCGCAGAACACCTATATAAGCCGAGAGCCACAGACAGTAACAACACAGTTGGAACCTAGTCGTCATACTATACAGTTGAAAGATAGCCGCCGCAGAATACAGTTGAAGTGATAACAATTGTAAAGAGTGTAAGAGTGAGTACCCAATAAAGATTTGCGAAATCCGAGACCCACGAAAAGTTATTTGTCACGTGACACACCCAACCTGTGACAATATTGTAGATGTGAGCATGATCTCCACATATGCTTGATATTGACACATTAACTTCAATTTAAAGCCACTTTACTCCCAAGTAATGTGCGATGACTGTCAATGGAAGACGTGAATTCTTCTTCAGTACTAAGGCCTAAGAATGACAATATTACACGTGGCCATTTTTTGAGTGCTTCGGCTTGAAGAGGATTAATATGAATTCCTTAATAAAAATTACAAGATGAGCACTGTCATCACAAGTGAACAGTTATTGTAAATTAATACAACTATAGTCTTTTTCTTTTCTGTCTATAATGAAACAAATTAATAACATTAATTCATACAATGATCGTTAAATATATAAAATGTTATTAAATTC